AAGAGTCTCACAGACTTTCCTGCCTGGGCTGGCTTTGAACCTCGATCCTCAGATCTCAGCCTCCTGAGTAGCTAGGGTTACAGGCATGAGCCACAAGCACCCGGCTAACAAATTCTTAATGGTTTCAAAGAACGTTATGAAAATACCCCCTCCCAGATGTTCTAGCTCTGAATCACACATGCAGCCTTTTAAAGTGTGTGTGTATGTGTGTGTGCGCGCGCGCCTGTATACATGCACGCACATGCCAATCCTGGGGCTTTAATTCAGGGACAGGGTATTGTCCCTGAACTTCTTTTGCTTAAGGCCAGTGCTCTACCATTTGAGCCCCAGCTCTTCTTCCAATTTTTTTTGGTAATTTATTGGAGATAGAGTCTCCTAAAGTCAGCCAAACTGACTTCACACTGTGATCCTCGGATCTCAGCCTCATGAATAGCTAGGGTTATAGGCATGAGCCTCTGGCATCAGGCTGTATATAAGTATGTATGTGTGTATATATGTAGTATTGAAGTGGGAACTTGGGACCTCACACTTGCTCACATTGCTAGCTCACCTGTTGTGCTACTCCTGAGCTATACGTGTAGCCTTGCTTCTTGCTGGTTATTTTGGAGATGAAATTTCATTGACTTTTCTACCTGGCTGGATTTGGTCTGTGAACCTCTACATTTCAGCTTCCTAAATAGCTAGGATTACAGATGTGAGCCACTGGCACCTGGCTTTGAAAGGAATATTATGGTTACCCAGCACAACTTGGATAACTTGTATAAGTAAATGAGTTGGTACATGTAAAACAATTAGGTGCCAAGGAACAAAACCAAAATTATATACATAACAACCCATTAAAACATTATAACATTAAAACCCAAACCAAACAAAAACCCCTAAAAACCCTAAGAAAAGTTTTCATATGGCATAGTAGTCTAAACCAGGAGGAAACACAGAGGGATTACTGGAGTTTTTCCTTGCAAATGTTTATGTATAAGAGAAGAAAATGTAGGCTTTTACCCAGTTAATTACCATTCAGGTAGAAAAGAACTATTGTAAGAATTAAGGAAAGAATAGGTTGCCCATTGTGGTTTTACTTAGTAGCAAGCCTGAAAAATGGAAGTTTGAAATGGAAGATCATCAAGTCAGACTCCTTTTTAGTTAGCATGGCCCTGGCATGAGCATGTTCTAGTTCAGATAAATCCAAATTTAGGAGCAAACAGTAGAGGAAAGAGATCTTGCTAATTTGTTTGAAAATTGAGTTAATGACATATAATTTACAAACTGTAGGCATCACTTAGGAGCATGTATTTATTTATTTATTTAGGTCAGTTATGGGGCTTGAACTCTGGGCCTGGGCACTGTCCCTCAGCTCTTCAGCTCAAGGTTAGTGCTCTACCACTTGAGCCACAGGGCCAGTTCCAGTTTTCTGGTGGTTTATTGGAGATAAGAGTCTCATAGACTTTCCTGCTTGGTTGGCTTTGAACCACAATCCTCAGATCTCAGCCTCCTGAGTGGCTAGGATTACAGGCGTGAGCCACCAGCCACCAGCTTAGTTAGTGTTTTTTTTTTTTTTTAACATATTCATGGTTGTGCAGCCCTCGTCCCCCCTCCTCTTATTCTGCTGTCCCCATCGAAGGGGTGGGGATTTGAAATCAGCCTTGGGCTTGCTAGGCAGGTACTCTTACCACTTTGTCACCTGAGCCACACCCAGTCCTTTTTTGCGTTAGTTATTTTTCTTAGTTATTTAGTCTTGGGGTTTTGCCCAGTGCTAGCCTTAGACTGCAATCCTTCTATCTATGACCTCTCACATAGGAAGACTATATGGGACGTAGGTGCATGCTACTTCACCTGGCTTATTTGGTTGAGATGAGGGTCTCACTAACTTTGTTTTCTTGGGCTGGCCTTGAAGTGTGATTCTCCTAATCTCTACATTCTGAGTAGCTAGAATCATAGACACGAGCCACCAGCACCCAGCTGGATTGTTGCTTTTTTATTTTATTGTGATTATTAAGGGGCTGTACAGAGGGATTGCCATTTCATCAAGTCAGGTAATGTGGACATTTCTTTTTTTGGACAATGTCACCGTTTCCTTCATTTTCCCTCAGTTTCTCCTTCCCATCCCTGCCCACAAATTACATAGGTTATTTCCCACATTTGGATTGTTGCTTTTATGTAGCACTTTTCAACAACAACAAAAAAAAAAATTAGCAGAAGGTATTGTTTTTCAATTAACTCCTTTGCCTGTAGGCCTAGTCAGATTGTCCTTTTAGCTTGATAAATGTGGCTCACAGAGAAAAATAGGCCAACGACAGTATAGGAGTTCATGTATTTCCTGCATCAGATGAAAGAATCAGCAAGATGTGGCTATTTTTAAGGCTTTCCTCAGTCCAGTCTCCCTGTGGCTTCAGGTTTCTTCTATTATTATTTCACTGAATGTCTTCCTTGCCTGAGATACATCGGAAAAAAGTACCCTAGTTCAAGTTGAAACAGAAAACTGGTCAGCCCACCAGCTGAAGCCCAGGGGACGGCATAGCCTTTAATCAGCTTGGAGTGATTGTCTTAAGCCTTTCAGCACAGTCAGGCTGCTGTCCAGCACTTGATCATCTAACTAAAGGATGCTGAAAGAAAAGTTCAAAGATAAAGTTCCTGGGAAATTCCATTCCCTCACTCTTTCTGCACTCAATGGCAGCAGTAATATATGTCAAGAATCTTCATTTGGGTTTCAGAGCATTTACAATAAAAGGTTTAGTTCACCAGGCTTAAAACCCGACAGCTGGCATTTCATTCCATCTTACCCTTGTTGGTTACTAGCTATGAAATCTAATGCAGAATTCTCACTTCTAAAGTGGGGAAAATAACATGTACTTCAAAAGATTCTGTGAGGATTAAGTGAGGTAGTGCTTTGGCTCTTTGTAGTGCAAAGCAGTACAGGTCCTCTTCCCCTCCTCCTCTTCCCCTCCTCTGTTCTTGTGGTGGGTCATAGGTTTGGCTGAGACTCATGAATGCACGTAGTAGAAAGCCTGAAACTCGATTTAGTTAGTGTTCATTGAATTTGAATTGAGTTCCTTGAGGATAGATCTTTTTTTATGGATAATATAGGGTATGTGTGAATGAGGGGCTGGGGTAAAGACAGATGGACTATATCCAGATTATATCTACTGTTTAATAAAGCACTTAAAAATTTGATGGCTTAAAATAGCAGCCATTTTACTTAATTCATGATTCTGTAGATTGGACGCTAAGTTGCACTCAGCTAGATATTCTTTTGTTCTGGTCTGGTTAGCTTTGCTGTATGGTCAGCTGGTAGAATAGCAGCTAGGACTGACTTGATGAAGGCCTCAGGCTGCAGCCAAGGACCAGGCTCCTGCACATGGTATTTTGTATTTTACATCTAGCAAACTCACTGCTTTATTTACATGATAATAGAATACACAAGAATTTAAAAACTCTTACCTGTGCCGTAATTAGGACCAAAGCTATAGATTTTTATTTGTGGTACTGGAGATCAAAACCAGGGCCTTGTGCATGCTAGGCAAGTGCTCTACCACTAGAGCAGTGCCCCAGTCCCAGGATAGGAAGTTCTACTTCTAATACTTAAAAGTCATGGTAATGTGTGTGTACACACACATACACACACAAAAAAAATTCTAGGGATTTTCTATTGTGCTTCTAAAATCAACTTTAGGTCTTTGGTATGTTGATATATGTAACCTTTTAAGCAATCATCTAAGAAGTGTGTGAATTTCACTCTTGGCTTATGTTTGAATAGGCAATGAGATTTTTAAAAACTTATCTAATTCCAAAACTTATTATAGTTTTTAGAACTTTGAATTTAGTCTAACAGACATCAGGTATTGACATCAAGATGAAAGCAGAAATATTTTATATGGGATTTCTGATTCTTAACCATTGAAAGAGATTTAAAAAAATTAATGTAGCTGCACCAGTGGCTCATGCCTATAATCGTAGCTACTCAAGAGGCTGAGGGCTGAGATCTGATCATCATGGTTTGAAGCCAGCCCTGGCACCAGAAAACCAGAAGTGGAGCTGTGGCTCAAAGTTGGAGAGCATTAGTGTTGAACAAAAAAGCTTAGGGACAGCATCTGAGTTCAAGCCCCATGAGTTAAGCCTCATGACCAAACAATGCCACACATACCCCTCGCAGAACAAAACAAAAAACAACAGTTAGTGTTTTAGTTTACAAAATACCAGGTGTAGGTTTGACCCCTAGCACCAGAAAAAACAAACAAAAAAACCCAATTACATAGTATTTCACAGAGTGGATAGATTGTGATTTCTTAATTTTTTTTTTTTTTGGGTCCGGTCATGGGGCCTGAACTCTGGGCCTGGGCGCTGTCCCTCAGCTCTTCAGCTCAAGGCTAGCGCTCTACCACTTGAGCCATAGCGCCACTTCCGGCTTTTATCTTTTTGCTTATGTGGTGCTGAGGAATCGAACCCAGGGCCTCAGGCATGCAAGGCAAGCGCTCTACCACTGAGCCAACTTCCCAGCCCCTTAATTTTTTTGTGTACATATTTTTCTTGTTCTTTTAATTAGATCTTGAATTGATCAAGAAAAGGCACCTCACTCAATTATCCACCTAACTACCTATGGTAAAAAGAAGTGTGTATGGCAGTTCTAAACAAATATTTTTGTTTGCTTTTCAGTTATTTTTAGTCCAAATAACACAGGGATTATTTGTTACAGAAAACTAAAAAATGTATTATTCACAGCTTACTCAGTTATTGGAGCATGCACATCTTTCTGTATAGAAAAAGAGACCCTGGGTTTCACATATATTTCAGGGGGTACCTTAGATTTTATTCAGGTCTATGAGAAATATTTTGAGTGAGCATTTGTACATTTGTGCATTTTTCTGTAGTTTCCCTGAATTTCTGAAGGATACCTCAGAAAGGCCTATTGATAAAGAGATGATTATCTCCCTGGAGATCTGTTTATTAAACTTAACCTAAAATGTAAGATTTCTTTTCACCTTTTATTTTTTCTTGGTTTTCAGGAAGGGATGAAACCATGCAGCCTGCAAAACCATCTTTCCTTGAATACTTTGAGCAAAAGGAAAAGGAAAATCAGATCAACAGCTTTGGCAAGAGTATACCTGGCCCGCTGAAAAATTCTTCGGAGTGGAAAATACCACAGGATGGAGACTATGAGTTTGTGAGTAATGGCAGAATTAAATGGTTATGTCTTCTGAAGTTATTTGAAATATCATCCATCCAATCCTGTCATTTCATGACAGTGCCCTGAGCAAGTAAGCATGTTTTTTTTTTTAATTTTATTTTTTTAGTTTAATCTATCTGTAAGTACTTCCAGTAGCAGCTCCTGAGCCAAGGACCTCATGAGTTTGAGACAACAATAGATAGATAGATAGATAGATAGATAGATAGATAGATAGATAGATAGATAGATAGATAGATAGATAGATAGATAGATAATGTGTGTACTTGTGTGTGTTTGTGTGTGTGTGTGTGTGTGTGTGTGTGTGTGTGTGTGTGTGTGTGTGTGTGTATGCCAGTCCTGAGGCTTGAACTGTCCTTGAACTTTTTTGCTCAAGGCTAGTTCTCTTCACACTTGAACCACAACTCTACTTCTGGCTTTTTGGTAGTCAGTTGAAGATAAGAATCTTACAGAACTTTACTGCCTGGGCTGGCTTCCAAACAAGATAGTCAGCTCTCAGCCTTCTGAATAGCTAGGATTATAGGTGTGAACCACCAGTGCCTGACCAGACGCAGCAATATTTTTGGTGTTTGCTCTTGTAGGGGCCTCTGATGAGAGGTATCAATTTTGCGTTAAAATCCTTTATCTGCCCTTTTTCTTTTTGTTGTTCAGTTTAAAATAATTAATGGTAAAAGAAATAACATGGTTACCAAATGAAGATACAACTGTCGTTAATAGTTTATTTAGAATTATAACTTTATGTTTAGGAATTAGATCAAAGGGAGGTTGACATTGCTTTGTAGTATCTTCAGTGTTTTTTCTAATCATTCTCCTGATTTTAGCCAAGAGGATTATTCTGAATCTTTTCAGAGGATAAGTTTTAAATTATTCCAAAGTTTCTTATGAGAAACAGGGTGTGTTTTTCTTCCTATACTATGGAACATTCTCCTTCAACCACATATACTTAGTAATGTGCATAGGGCTTTAATGAATTGGAGACAATAGAAAAATGATGGAAAAGTAAGCTAGAAGACTTCATATTCCTTTTGTGAACATTTCTTAAAAAAAACTTCCTTTTAGAATTTATGTTTTTAAATCCTGAAGTTTCATAGCTCTTTTTTTTCCCCTTACTTATTTTGTGTTTAAACTTAGGTTAGTTAGTGTATTTGATTTCTGGAGGTCTTTGTAGTCCGGGCTCTCCACTCTACTGTTGACTTCCATAAAGGAAAAGATACCATTTTTCCTAATTTTACTTGTACTTTTGTAAAGGGCTGTCATATAGGATAGAGATCTTTTGAGGACCAGAATTATTTGCTTGTGTTTATTTAGGTGATTAGCCACTAACCCTATGTCAGGGCCCAGGTTCATTTGCTGTATCGTCTATTCATTCATCTGTTCATTTACTCACTGTTCTTTGAATGCCATCTTGTACTCAACCCTGTTGTAGGGATATAGAAGTAAGCAGAACACATAGCAAAAGCCCATCCTTCATAGAAAATAAATAGTGTTTCACATTGTGGTCAGTATTGTGGAAAGAATAAAGTGAAAAGGAAGTAAGATAGGAGAGGACATGGGAGGGAACAGAGAGGGAGGAGAGAGGGAAAAGGAGAGTGAGGAGTGTATTTATGTAACATTTTTTTCTGTGCTGGTCCTGGGGTTTGAACTCAGGACCTGGCACTGTCCCTGAGTTTTTTTTGTTTTTGTTTTTTTTTTTAAATGTTCATGATTAGCAGTCTACCACTTAAGCCACTGATTCTAGAATTTTTTGGGGGGGAAGGATGTGTTGCGGTGGGGCATGGCCTCTTCAGTTTTCCATATTATTTGGCCTACTTCATTTTTCCAGTCTTATCTGACTGGCACTTGCAGGAATTGAAATTGAGATTCTTTCTATTAATTATATATCCTGAGCCAATCCATCCTGCTATGTAAAATTCTAATTTTGCCTTCAGAATTTCAAGTTTTTAAACTCTCATTTAAAGGCATTTCATATTGCCAGGTGCTGGTCCCTCATGCCTGTAATCCTAACTACTCAGGAGGTAAGATGTAAGGACTGTGGTTCAAAGCCAGCCTGGACAGGAAAGTCTGCGAGACTCTTATCTCCAATTAACTACTAGAAAATGGCAAGTGCAACTGTAGCTCAAAGTAAGAGCACTGGCTTAAAGTAGTAGAATGTTAGCCACAGCACCCAGGCCCTGAGTTCAAGGCCCATGACCACCCCTGAAAAAAGCATTCCGTATTAATCAATGAAAGAACATTGAAGTAGGATATACACAAATTGCTACATCAGATAGTCCAAAAGATCAAATTAAAAAAATGCCTTTATACATTGAAATGATTAATATATACTCTTTACCTTAATGCCACAAGAATTTGAAATGATAAGCCGGCACTGGGGGCTCATGCCTGTATTCCTAGCTACTTAGGAGGCTGAGATCTGGGGATCACGGTTCAAAGCCAACCCGGGCAAGAAAGTCTGTGAAACTCTTATCTCCAATAAACCACCAGAAAACTAGAAGTAGCTCTGTGGCTCAAGTGATAGAATGCTCGCCTTGAGCTGAAGAGCTGAGGTATAGCGCCCAGGCCCACAGTTCAAGCCCCATGACTGACCAAAAAAAAAAAAAAAGAATTGGTCTTGAACCTTGTTCCCAGACCATCAATGTCAACTTTGCCTGGAAACCATGTCCTAGTTGTACTAAAGCAAAATCTGTGAGGAGAACACCCAGTAATGAGGAGAGCACCTGTCTCCCTAGAGACTAACCCACAAAAGTCTGATCTAAAAAGTTTTCACAGGGGGCAGGGAATTTGGCTTAGTGGTAGAGTGGTTGTCTAGCATGCATGAAGCCCTGGGTTTGAAAGCCTGAAGTGGTGCTATGGCTCAAGTGGTAGAGTGCTAGTCTTGAGCAAAAAGAAGCTCAGAGATAGTGCCCAGCCCTGAGTTCAAGCCCCAGGATTGGCCAAAAAAAGGTTTTCACAGTATAGTATATCTTCTCACAAGTTTCTGCTTTCATTCCTATTGGCTACTATAAATAATTAGGTAAGCATGTTCATCTTTCATTAACATAATATTTTTCTTTTTTTAATTTTCCTTTTTAATTTTTCCTTTTTAAAATTTTATTTTATTGTAAAGATACTGTACAGAGGGGTTTATTTTCCTTTTTGAGTTTCATGTCATATTGAAGATGTCAAAGTATATAGACTATGTGGAAACTATTGCATCTATAAATCACACCCATTTTAGAAATCTTTTGAATGGTAAGTCCTGAATTTCTCTTTTAACTAAAGAAGGATGTATCAGACTAGCTAACATATTTCTTTCAATCATCTCGTAGAGACACTTTCTGATTCCAGACAAGCAGTATTTGATTAGGATAAAATGCAACTTTTTTTTTCTTCCTGTGAATGCAGTTGCTATTTAGAAATGAACCTTTTGCCTAAAATGGCAAATAGGAAATAATTTAATCAAAAGTGGCTGAATTTGATGTCTGACAAAGCTTCAAATTTTCATCTGAAACTGAATACCCCATTTCTAAAATTGAATTACTTTATTTACCAAGTTAAAAAAAAAACACCCAAACTCCTTTTAATGTTTAAAATATATAGTAATTAAAATGAGAAAAGGTGCTTGAAAATGCAGTGTTCTCTAAAACTCTATAATCAAATAATATTTTTGAGCAGTATTACTTTTATGAGACCTCAGATCTTCTTATTTCACCATTCCCAATGCCACAAAAAGCCTTAAGTTTTAATGCAGTTTGCTTCAGGAGATCCAAGTTGTGAACCTACATGAAAAAAAAATATCTAAAATATTGGTAATTCAAGGATCATTGAGAAAACAATAGTTTATTTAAATATTTTAAATATTTCCTCAGCCAGGCACCAGTGCCCTTATGACTGTAATCCTAGCTACTATTGAGGAAAAGCCAGACATAGCACTGTGGCTCAAGTGATAGAGCACTAGTCTTAAGCACAAAGAGGCTCGAACAGCGCCCAGGTCTTGAGTTCAAACCCTAGGACTGGAGGGAGGGAGAAAGGAAGGGAGGGTGTGTGTGTGTGTGTGTGTGTGTGTGTGTGTGTGTAATATATAAAATATATAAATATAAAATATCAATATTTCCTCAAAAATTGACATTTCAGTTGGGTGCTGGTAACTCACACCTGTAATCCTAGCTACTTAGGATCTGAGAACTGAAGATCACAGTTGAAGCCAGCCCAAGGAGGAAGGTCCATGAGACTCCAGTTAACCACCAAAAAAAGCAGTGAATCTGTGACAGCTCAAGCTGTAGAGGGCTAGCCTTAAGCACAAAAACTCAGGGACAACACCTTTGCCCTGAGTTCAAGCCTTACAATTTGTACATACACAAATGCAAGTTTTAAAAAATAGACATTTCAGGCTAAGGGTGTGTATCTCACTGGTAGAGCATGTAGTTAGTATATACAAGGCCTTGGGTTTTTTCCCAGTACCAAAAATAAAGGGTAGTGAGAGATGATGTTTCAGTGAGACAAAACTCAAAACACAAGGTTAACAAGGTTTTTAGAAAATAGGAAAACTTTTCACATAAACCTTTGACTTTAGAACATAGGTAAAAGGTAGACTAGCACCTAACACTTCTACTGTAACTGAAATACATGGTTGTCTTGAAGGAAAGCACTTTGCAGTTGAGCTATAAGATCAACCAGTGCTTTTTCCAGGGCATCATTTCTCCTTGAAAGAAATACTAACTGGTTATTCAGAATTGGGGATCTATAGAGTACACGTTTTCTAAAATTGGAAAAGATAGCCTATAACTTAAGACAGCTGAGGAGTTGTTGCCAATGATAAAATTCAAACTTTCAGCATAATAGAATCTTGGAAAACTTGATTCCACCATCAACTTGATAGCTTCCCTACACTTAGATACATTGCTTGATAAGATTGATTACAATTTAGAAGAATACGATTTTTTAAAGTATTACATAGGAGGGGGCCAGTGGCTCACGCCTGTGATCCTAGCTACTCAGGA